GGTTTCGTCAATAAAAGAGGAAATTATCCTGTCTTTTTGCCAGTTGTCAATATGTTGCTCATCTCTTTTACGGATCTCGTTTTTCTTCTTCTTCTTCTTCGTTTTTTGCATTTTCTTGGGTCACGGGCTGCTACGCAACATAAATTTGTTGGGACGAACCTACAATATCTCTGAGCTGGTCGCGTCGTTTAAGTAGCGCGTAGAACGGTCGTAAAGAGTTTCTTATAAGATAATTTAAAAATAAAAACAAGAAAAGACTGCTTTAATTTTTATTTAATATAAACTGTTGTATTTTTATCTGAAAGGTTGGCAAAAATAATAATTAACGATTTTTTTTACTCCATGTAAGTTAGTGTTACATATAAACATAAAAAAAACGGCATCGCCGTATCTTTGCTTCTGTCAAATGGATTTTTTTTAACCCTATAAGAATGGTAAATTATCGTGACAAAAATATGAAATAGTTTTATGACCATAATCTTGATACGTTTCACAAATAATCACTTATAAGCAAATAAAGAGTGTAATCTTGAGAGCAGCGGTTCGCTTACCGATGTAAGCGGTAAAGTTTATAAAACAAATATATATCGTAAGAACAAGCTGCTATCAAAACATTAAGATTTAACGAACAACAGCTACCTATTGAGATACATTTTGTTTAGTTAAAATTTACAGGTTATTAGAATCAACCTTAGATTAACCTAGAGCGCTTTAAGTAGGATATTAGGAGATTGTATATAAACTTGTATTGTGCCAAGGATGGTATAATGCTGTCCCGCTGATGCCGAAGCTGGCCAACCACACGAGATATGTCTAGGTCCTGTAGAGTTAAAAATTATGTTTAAACAAATTGCAAAATATATCCATTTTTTATCGCACCTCGTTATGATTCAGAGTGTAGAACAAAAGATCCGCAGTCAGGGTCACTCCCGAACGACCACCTCCCTCCATGCAATGTAAAAGAACCGGTGGGTTTGTGTTGTGCCCCGGCGGAACTTCTTGTGTGGATGCGAGTCTTACGGAGCTCAACTCTTCTAGAAAGCCGAGAAAGTGATTTACGTCACGCGGACAATTTTGCTCCGCCCAGTCCGCATACTGCAGATACCAGACAGAACGGTATCGACGTGATGGTACGTGGTAAAGACGCAACTTTATGGTGGTGCAACGATCGGTGGCTTGTGAGAATTCCTGATATACTTGAAACTGCAAATTAAAAAAGACATTTATAAAAATTTTCACAAACGCTATAGGAGAGTGCCTCGACTATCAGATCCCCGAAGCGAAAAATCAAGGGTGTTTACATTTTCATCTAATTTAATTTTATCCACTTCCCTTATATCTTCTGGCTATAACGCCAGCAATTAACGGGGTTATAAAGGTCAAAAAACAGTCGCACTTTTGGAATTTAAATAAAAAAAAAACAATAAAAAAAAATTAAGGAAATGTTCATCCGTAGGGTAGTGGCAACAAGTCTTCTAATAATAGGTGGTTTGTGGTGAACATCATAGCGGATCGAAGCCATTCTTTTACATTTTCAAATATTTTATATTTAAAAAAATATTTTATTTGTATAAATTGCTTTTTATACCCGTTACTTGTAGAGTAAAAGAGTAAATAAAATTCGTTGGAAATTATGTAACAGGTAAAGAACAGCGATTCTGGCCCTTAAAAGTATATAAATATTCTTGATCACGATCACTAGCCGAGTCGAACTAGCAAGGTCCGTCTGTACGCCTGTCTGTCCGTTAGTATGGACGCTAAGATCTTGGAAACTATATAAGCTGGAAAGTTGGTATTTGACATGCAGATCCTTAGCAGCTACGCCCACTCTACCGCCTATAACGGTAAAGCCCGTGTAGCGCCAACAATTTTTAGTATTTTGTAAAAGTTGAAATGGTATTTTGTTTTGATTATCAATTTCTATCTTTATGTCAAAATTTTTTCAAATTGTACCATCCATTAAAAGTAAAAGCGAATTCTTAATTTTATCTTAACAGGGACTATACTTACTTCAAAGATAAATTTTTAATATATATGCCATGCCACTATTTTATTGAACAACTATTACAAACGTTTAGATTTAAAAATACACAGTACACTTTAAGATTGTTTATGTTTTGCAACCATACATTAATATTATGTTCTCAGTCTATTTTATAATTTGTGTTCATACCCAAGGGTGCTCAACATGCCCAGCACCAACAAATCAAGCAGTTGGGAACGGTACCAAGCGCTCAGTAGCACCCACTGCAGATTGAAGTTGCTGATCAACATATTATATGTCTCACTAACTAACCGTCTCAGCGACTCAACGGTACACTACACTAACCCGCCAAGGCAGTCAGCACATTTTGCAGTGTTATCCATAATCTAAATTCCCTGACCTACTCCAGAATATAGCTTATTTCACTAATCATTACACCAAACTTCCGTGTTCCAAGAAGTATATAAGCATGTATAAAATTAAGAATAAATCATAATAATAAATCAGTTGTCAACGCAATTCATAAATCCGCGGCTCTATTTCCTATATCTGGAAATAGGGCTCGTAATATACTATCTCAACCTCAGCGCAGTTTCAGCATTGCCTGTGGCGTCGCAGAAACCATCGATACCACATCAAAGCGTCCCCGTGCCTGCGACAAGTGCTCATTACCCCTTTTTCCCGCGGCGTGACCCAGAAGTGTCTACTTCGGTTAGGCACAAACGTGATCCTTTACCAACAAAGGTAACCCCCCAGCAACCCCCTTCCAACCAAAAAGCTGAACATCTAACTGGTGAGATGTACCTTTAAGTTCACACTACATCCACCCGCCCTAGGAACCATAGCTCATCCAGCTTCACAGGATACTCAGCTTAGTCTGGCTTCACTGGGTACTTAGCTTAATCCAGCTCCACAGGATTCACAGCTTCATCCAGATCTACAGGATACTCAGCTCATTCAGCTTCACAGGACTATCAGCCTAATCCAGCTTCACAGGATACGCAGCTTGATCCAGCTTCACAGGATACTTAGCTTAATCCAGATTCACAGGACTCACAGCTTCATCCAGCTTCACAGGACCCACAACTTTATCCGGCCTCACAGGACTCTTCGTTTCCAAAGCACGAGTTTTAACTTATCCCATTGTGTCAACTTCATTCATAAAGGAAACAAGTCACACAAGAATCGATTTACACAATCGATTACTAGACAACCAAAATGAGCTACAAGTACAAATCCAACAGTTCATAAAGAATTATGGCAAGGATTCGGTCAAACGAAGCCACCGAGACGCCTATTATCTATAATCAGTTAAACGATCTCTGGCAGCAGTTTTGCGACCTAGATGAAGAAGTCGAACAAGCGGCATTACCACTATATGTGAGTATGCCTACCGACTAACAGGATTAACGGAGTTGGTCGAGAAATATCAGCAGGTATTTAAAGACAACATTGCGTCAGCAAGCCGCCCTCAAAAGGCACCTCGGCGGATCCAGAACAACCCAAAGGACCCGTTAGTCAAGCAAATAAAGAGTGAGTCATCGATCGACGCGGTTATCTGTCAAATAAAGAGACGATGCAACGAATTAGAATCATCTCTAATTCTGGCGTCCAATGCGCACACGGTCACCCCAGCCCTACAACGACACCTGGAGATTCAATGGTAACTATTGATACAGACCCAAGAAGATTTCAATAATACGTCTGGAGCAAAGGCAGCCGACAAAGAAGAAGTTTGTCAATTCCAGACCCTATAAGATGAATATAATATGACCTTGCTTCAAGATAACGACGCTCCAATGAGCCTAAGTCTATCTCTACCGCCAATCAGTATTGGGCCCGGTTTCACGAATTAATTATGTGGAATTAGAGCATAAAAAACCAAACTCAAGGCTCACTCAGCGGTGACGCAAAAGCCAGGTACTAAAACGGAGTAGGTAGTTAATACGGGAGCTGGCTCACTAGGTAATAAATCATGTCAAAAAAGGAGGTGGGGGTGACCCTAATTAGTCACGCATGGTTGCACACAGGTGTTCTAATGACCTAATTAGCATAATTAAGTCAAAAAGGGGGGTGTTGCTGACCCTAGTTAGATGAGCATGGTTGCACACAGGTCACTTAATGAGGTTAGAAAGTGGTGTGTAGGAGTGTGAGAGAGTGGTCTTTTGATATGTCTTGTTTTGTCTTGTCTTTTTCTCACGCTAAAGGTGCGTGTGTGATAGGGGTGTTTTGTCATGCGTGGGATTTTGTGGAGTGCAATGGTTGCACACAGGTCACTATGTTGCTTCTAACTTGGGTTAGAACGCGTTATGCGTGGGCGTTTTGTTGAGTCAATTAGGGTTGTAGGTGACACCTGGCTTGCGTGTGTGATAGGGGTGTTTTGTCATGCGTAGGATTTTGTGGAGTGCAATGGTTGCACACAGATCACTATGTTGCTTCTAACTTGGGTTAGAAGGCGTTATGCGTGGGCGTTTTGTTGAGTCAATTAGGGTTGTAGGTGACACCTGGCTACGGTCTTGTGGTCAAAAGGTGTTGGTTTGAGGGATATTAGACCGCATACTTTTGTGGTGTGAAACAAGCGTGAGTTCGGTAACCTCCCCCTCTTTAGCGAGCATTAGATGGGAAAGTGAGCGTAGGAGTGTAAGAGGGGTGTTGGTGGTTTCTAACAAAAACGTTGTTTTTCTATGCGTGGGCGTTTTGTTGATTCAATTAGTGATAGTTTTAATAGGGTAGATTCAATTAGGGTTGTAGGTGACACCTGTTAGTGTAACCTGCCTACGGTCTTGTGGTCAAAATGGTGACTGTGGTAGCGGTTCCTAACAGAACAAAACCAAATGAGATCGTTTGTTTAGTCAAATACGTTTTTCTTTAATCATATTTGAAAATTTTTTCTCATGCGTTTATAGAAAGAGAAAACGGTTACCTTCTAAGTTTTCAAAAAATGTATGTGTTAAGGAGAAATGTGGAAAGTAGTTCAGTTTTAGAAAACTATTCGTTTTACAAGGGGTGTTTTGTCATGCGTATGAATTTGTAAAACTATATTTAGGCGGAGGAGGAGGAGGAAGGGAAGTTGTTTTGTTATGCGTGGGCGTTTTGTTGATTCAATTAGGGTTGTAGGTGACACCTGGCTACGGTCTTGTGGTCAAAAGGTGTTGGTTTGAGGGATATTAGACCGCATACTTTTGTGGTGTGAAACAAGCGTGAGTTCGGTAACCTCTCCCCTCTTTAGCGAGCATTAGATGGGAAAGTGAGCGTAGGAGTGTAAGAGGGATGGTGGTGGTGGCGGTGCTTGTGGTGGTGGTTCCTAACAGAATATACACATTTATACACAAAAACAAATGAGATCGTTTGTTTAGTCAAATACGTTTTTATTTCTATATATTCGTCTTAAATTAGTTTACATTGAGTCTTTTAAATAAATGAATGTATCTTTCCATCAATTTTAAGGCGTCTTCTTCTCTCTTTTCAACATGCATACACCTGCAAGTGTCAGGTCCAACTTTACAATCATCATATGCCCATGCACAGGATGATAGGTGTTCTCCATACTTCGAATGAATTAGTGGGGTGGCTTCTACATCTTTAAAAAATGTATGAAATGATTTCAATTTCGTAGCATGTTCCTTGAAGATCTCACTTCCATGCTCCCTTAAGAACTCTTCAATTTTTGAGGAAATCATTTTTTCTTTCAACGTAATAGTCTGAATGTTTATCTTAAACTAAAGTTTGGTAGAGATAACTCGTTGTATTATACTTAGAAAACAGATGTTAAAAAATGCAACAGCTGATGATAGACCCACCCTCGAAAACAAATTCAAAACAATAGAAATTTTTTTTTTTGGTTTTCTGTTTATTTAAAAATTTCAATATATGATGAAATTAATTTTCTAACTCTATATTGTTGAATTACAAAATGAAAACAAGCACAAGCTTCTATATTATCATTAGAAAATGTACATAAATTTAAATGTTCTCCAAATGTTGTTTTTATAAACTCCTTTACGTCAGTACCCATGAACATGTTCCTTGTCTCCAGTAGTAATTTCAAGTCCTCTTTTGAAATCATATTTCCAAATGTATTAATAAAAAAATTAATTTTATTTATTAAAGATGAATAAGTCGGTATATTAAGATTGTTATTAGAATCAGTCATTTCGTAAACTTATTTTCCCGACTCTCAAAATGTGAATGAATTGTTTAAAAGGTGTTTAGGAGTTTTCGTTTGTGTAAAAGTTT